CAAGTATGTGCACACATACATGTATACACACACATACATGTATACACAAGTATGTGCACACATACATGTATACACAAGTATGTGCACACATACATGTATACACAAGTATGTGCACACATACATGTATACACAAGTATGTGCACACATACATGTATACACAAGTATGTGCACACATACATGTATACACAAGTATGTGCACACATACATGTATACACAAGTATGTGCACACATACATGTATACACAAGTATGTGCACACATACATGTATACACAAGTATGTGCACACATACATGTATACACAAGTATGTGCACACATACATGTATACACAAGTATGTGCACACATACATGTATACACAAGTATGTGCACACATACATGTATACACAAGTATGTGCACACATACATGTATACACAAGTATGTGCACACATACATGTATACACAAGTATGTGCACACATACATGTATACACAAGTATGTGCACACATACATGTATACACAAGTATGTGCACACATACATGTATACACAAGTATGTGCACACATACATGTATACACAAGTATGTGCACACATACATGTATACACAAGTATGTGCACACATACATGTATACACAAGTATGTGCACACATACATGTATACACAAGTATGTGCACACATACATGTATACACAAGTATGTGCACACATACATGTATACACAAGTATGTGCACACATACATGTATACACAAGTATGTGCACACATACATGTATACACAAGTATGTGCACACATACATGTATACACAAGTATGTGCACACATACATGTATACACAAGTATGTGCACACATACATGTATACACAAGTATGTGCACACATACATGTATACACAAGTATGTGCACACATACATGTATACACAAGTATGTGCACACATACATGTATACACAAGTATGTGCACACATACATGTATACACAAGTATGTGCACACATACATGTATACACAAGTATGTGCACACATACATGTATACACAAGTATGTGCACACATACATGTATACACAAGTATGTGCACACATACATGTATACACAAGTATGTGCACACATACATGTATACACAAGTATGTGCACACATACATGTATACACAAGTATGTGCACACATACATGTATACACAAGTATGTGCACACATACATGTATACACAAGTATGTGCACACATACATGTATACACAAGTATGTGCACACATACATGTATACACAAGTATGTGCACACATACATGTATACACAAGTATGTGCACACATACATGTATACACAAGTATGTGCACACATACATGTATACACAAGTATGTGCACACATACATGTATACACAAGTATGTGCACACATACATGTATACACAAGTATGTGCACACATACATGTATACACAAGTATGTGCACACATACATGTATACACAAGTATGTGCACACATACATGTATACACAAGTATGTGCACACATACATGTATACACAAGTATGTGCACACATACATGTATACACAAGTATGTGCACACATATATATATACACATTATGTGCGCGTGTGCATGCTTGTGTGTCTGTCTGTATGTATTCATATGTGTGTGTAAGAAATAGGCCACTACCTACATGTGAAAGGCAATCTTATGAAACCAGTGTGTGCCAAATTTGAAATAAACACGTTCAACATAACCCCTCTTCACAACCACTCTCGTGTGTCAATCACCCTCACGATGTGTGGTGAATGCGGTAGGGAGGAAGTGGCGATTTCTCTCACGCCGGCAGGATAGGGCAGCACGAAGCGGTCCCTCGTCTCGGTGCGCCAAGAAAGGAGAGGCAAGAAGCAGAAACCAACGTTATGAGAAGCAAGATTCGTTGCTGTGGAGAGAGTGTCTCGCCATCGTCTTGGATGTGTTGATGTGCGAGGGCATGGCAATCGGAAATCGGTGTTGATATTTATAGCCACGGCTTTTAATGAGGGAAGCGTTGATGGCGTTTATTTTCATAGGGTTATGTACACACGTTTTAGGGCATGTGTGATAGTGAGGATGTTTTTTTTAGGACGTTTGATGTTGATCGTAATGGTAATGACAATGGTGATGGTGTTATTTTCTTAGGTTTGTATGTACATGTCCTTCGGGATAAATTTATTGCTGATAATGATTGTGATAATGATAGTCTCTTGGATCTATGTGTAGGCCTATTTATGGTTTATTTTATTTATTTATTTATTTATTTAACGAGAATATATATGCTTCAGTTACGAGGTATAACCGCATCTGAAAAAGCCTGTTTTCTGTGCGATTTACCCGCATTGCGAATCTTCAGGGGACGCGAGGGAGATATCTTGGTCGGTAGGTCGGTTGGTCGGTCGGTCGGGCGATTTGTTGGGTCACCTTTTCCCTTTACATGAGTCACGTGGTGGGAACGAAGGAAGACTTTGTAGTCGGAAGCGATGGCGAAGGAGGAAGAGGAGGAGGAGGATTAAGAAGAAGAGGAGGAGAAGGCGAAGACGAAGGAGGAGGAGGAAGAGGAGGAGAAGGCGAAGACGAAGGAGGAGGAGGCAAATGCGAAGGCGGGGGAGGAGAAGGAATACGGAGGAGAGAGAGGTGAAGACGGAGGAAGGAGGAGAAAGGAGGAGGAGGGGCAGTACAGCAGCTTTAAACCCTGTAGGAGCAGCCGGCGGGGGTGCACTTGATGCGGCAGGGACATTGCACGCGTATGTTGCAGTAGTAGAGGAGCTTCCTCTCGGTCGACGTGGCAAGCAGAAGGCAGGTTGATCTTCCTGCTGCTAAATACGCACGTCGGCTGGGCAGGGCGCTTTGACTTTCCGTCTTATCAAAGTCCTTTTTCTTCGTTCCCTTCTTACGTCTTTGTCTTTATCTTTGTCTTGGTCTTGGTCTTGGTCTTCGTCTTTTTTATCGTTAGTTCACCTCCTTCTTCTTCGTCTCTTCTTGTCTCAGTATTCGCCTTTGTCTTTGTATTTGTCTTTGTTTTTATCTCCATCTTTATCTTTGTCTTTGTCTTTTTCTTTTTCATTTTTAGCGTAGGTTCATCCTCCTGCTTTTTCTTCTTTTTCTTCTTCGTCTTCGTCTCCTCCTGTCTCCGTCTTCGCCCTTGTCTTCTTTCTTTTTTTCTTTTTTCTTCTTCGCGTGGGTTCAGGGTCGTATAGAAACAACACTTACGTAACCTTAACGGGTGTGGGAAATTACCCTGTTGAGAGCAGTCGTAATTACGTATTATTTTTAGAGAACGATAGCGGTCATGCCACCCTTTTATGGCTTATACCTTCCCTTATGAGTATGAAAAAAAAAACATTGAAAGACTCGCATTTAGATGTGTATAGCACCGTTTTTTTCTATAATGCAGGGGATATGGACGATATTATGGTGACGCGTAATAAAATCTTATTGCAAAATGTGTATATAGATAACGAGAGCTGCTTATATCTTTTTTTGTTTGTTTGTTTGTTTCCATATGAAAAAAATACGTATTGCCTCGTTTCGTTGGATTATAAGGCGATGGGGAAGCGAGGCGTAACTTTTCTATATTTAGACACGCGTGGGCTGAAACACCTGTAAAGTGGAAACACTTGTAGTCATCTGTAGTGAAGGTGGTGCTCGCAATCTTTTTTCTCTTCCCTTTTTTTCGTGTTTTCGTTCTGTTCTGTTCATTCGTTTGAAATTTCGTGTCATTTTTTTGTTCTCATCCTCTTTCTTCTTCCTTCCTTCTTCCTATTAATTATTCTTCCTTTTCTTCCTCTTCCTTTTATTATTATTATTATTATTATTGTTATTATTATTATTATTATTATTACTGTTGTTATTACTATTATTATTATTTGGAACATCAGGTGACATGATTGGGAACACGCAGTCGAGCATATCGCCTGAAGACGAGTGCGAGATAATATTGGTTTTCCCAAAGAAAGAGAAGCGTGTGTGCGTGTATGTGTATGTGTGTGTGCGTGCGTGTGCGTGTATGTGTATGTGTGTGCGTGTGCGTGTGCGTGTATGTGTACGTGTGTGTGTGTGTCACCTCATCCTTAAGGGGATATCGTTGAGAGAACCCCCACTCCCACCCCCGCTCCCCCCATTTACCCCCCTCCCCCCGTGCAGCAAGGTGCAGAGCTCACGACTGACTGCGAGTTGTGTTGTGGCCGCAGTCTGCAGCCTCCAACGCCGGTGACCTTGACAGCCAGACCCTGTTCTGCATGTATGCTGTTTATGTTGATGTTGCATTCTTCTCCCTCCCTCCCTCCCTGCCTCCCACTCTCCTTTCCTCCTTCCCTGCTCCCCTCCTGCCTCCTCCTCTCCCTTCCTCCTACCCTGCCTCCCACCCTTCCTTCCTCCTTCCCTGCCTCCCACTCTTCCTTCCTTCGTCTCTCTTCTTTTCCTTCTTTACCTACTTTACTTTCGTATCTTCTCTTCCTTTTTTATTTATCTTCTGTCTCTCCTTTCTTCTCATCGCTCTCTTATTCCTTTCCTCCCAAGTCACCCCATCCCTTCTGATTCTCTCCCCTCTCCATGCACCCTCTCCCCTCTCCATGCACCCTCTCCCTTCTTCTTCTTTTTCTTCTTCTACTTCTTCTTCTTCTTCTTCTTCTTCTTCTCCTTCTTCTTCTCTTCTGCTCTCCCCTTTCATACCTTCCTCTCCCTTGCCCTCCTCTCTCCTCCTCCTTCCCTCTCATCCTCCCCTCTTCTCTTTCATATTTTCTTCTCTCTCATCCCCCCCCTCCCCACCTGCTCCTCCAGTTATTCTTCATTTGCCCTCATACTTCTTTTCTATTCTCCTTCATATTCCTTTTATCTTTCTCCCCACGGTTTTACAGTGTACATAAGTTATTCTAATATATTTAAATAAACATATACATATACTTACTGTATATTCAAACAAACAAACACAGAAACTGCAAGATATCGATATATGTTACCGGAGTGAATCATCATAAAATTGAAAGTTTGAGTCATGACTGTAAAGATTATAACTTGCTGTCATGATGAATTATGTATAATTTTATAGCATATTTATTGTATCTATATGCATGCATCTACGCATATCATATCCTGTTTTGATATACGGATATCCATGCATATATACTTGCAGACATACATACATACTGGCGTGTGAATGCGTATGTTTGTACATATATATACGTAATACAAATACTTATAGGCAAAAGTGAGAGAGTGAGAGTCAGAGAGAGAGAGAGAGAAATAAACAGATAGAAGAGAGATAAAGAGAGAGAGGACAAACCCCAAGAAACATGAAACAAAAGCTAGAATTGAAACGGCAAGAAAGAAGTCTTTAGCGTTACGTAAAACCGAGCTCTGTAACAGTGTCGAGAGTCCCCCGGATGTCCAGCTGTGGTGTTCGGTACACACTTGGTCTTGATGAACTTGGATGAAGACCCCTTGTCACATTTCACGACCTTGGGAGGACACAGATGGCGTGGCTGTAGGTCGTAGTAACTGGAGGAGGGAGGGGCGGATATGTTTGAGTGATAGGGAGAGTGAGGAGGAATTGGTGAATGAAAAGGATAGGGTTTTATATATATTTTTTAATTTTCTTTCTTTCTTTCTTTTCGTTTTCTTCTTCTTCTTCTTCTTCTTCTTCTTCTTCTTCTTCTTCTTCTTCTTCTTCTTCTTCTTCTTCTTCTTCTTCTTCTTCTTCTTCTTCTTCTTCTTCTTCTTCTTCTTCTTCTTCTTCTTCTTCTTCTTCTTCTTCTTCTTCTTCTTCTTCTTCTTCTTCTTCTTCTTCTTCTTCTTCTTCTTCTTCTTCTTCTTCTTCTTCTTCTTCTTCTTCTTCTTCTTCTTCTTCTTCTTCTTCTTCTTCTTCTTCTTCTTCTTCTTCTTCTTCTTCTTCTTCTTCTTCTTCTTCTTCTTCTTCTTCTTCTTCTTCTTCTTCTTCTTCTTCTTCTTCTTCTTCTTCTTCTTCTTCTTCTTCTTCTTCTTCTTCTTCTTCTTCTTCTTCTTCTTCTTCTTCTTCTTCTTCTTCTTCTTCTTCTTCTTCTTCTTCTTCTTCTTCTTCTTCTTCTTCTTCTTCTTCTTCTTCTTCTTCTTCTTCTTCTTCTTCTTCTTCTTCTTCTTCTTCTTCTTCTTCTTCTTCTTCTTCTTCTTCTTCTTCTTCTTCTTCTTCTTCTTCTTCTTCTTCTTCTTCTTCTTCTTCTTCTTCTTCTTCTTCTTCTTCTTCTTCTTCTTCTTCTTCTTCTTCTTCTTCTTCTTCTTCTTCTTCTTCTTCTTCTTCTTCTTCTTCTTCTTCTTCTTCTTCTTCTTCTTCTTCTTCTTCTTCTTCTTCTTCTTCTTCTTCTTCTTCTTCTTCTTCTTCTTCTTCTTCTTCTTCTTCTTCTTCTTCTTCTTCTTCTTCTTCTTCTTCTTCTTCTTCTTCTTCTTCTTCTTCTTCTTCTTCTTCTTCTTCTTCTTCTTCTTCTTCTTCTTCTTCTTCTTCTTCTTCTTCTTCTTCTTCTTCTTCTTCTTCTTCTTCTTCTTCTTCTTCTTCTTCTTCTTCTTCTTCTTCTTCTTCTTCTTCTTCTTCTTCTTCTTCTTCTTCTTCTTCTTCTTCTTCTTCTTCTTCTTCTTCTTCTTCTTCTTCTTCTTCTTCTTCTTCTTCTTCTTCTTCTTCTTCTTCTTCTTCTTCTTCTTCTTCTTCTTCTTCTTCTTCTTCTTCTTCTTCTTCTTCTTCTTCTTCTTCTTCTTCTTCTTCTTCTTCTTCTTCTTCTTCTTCTTCTTCTTCTTCTTCTTCTTCTTCTTCTTCTTCTTCTTCTTCTTCTTCTTCTTCTTCTTCTTCTTCTTCTTCTTCTTCTTCTTCTTCTTCTTCTTCTTCTTCTTCTTCTTCTTCTTCTTCTTCTTCTTCTTCTTCTTCTTCTTCTTCTTCTTCTTCTTCTTCTTCTTCTTCTTCTTCTTCTTCTTCTTCTTCTTCTTCTTCTTCTTCTTCTTCTTCTTCTTCTTCTTCTTCTTCTTCTTCTTCTTCTTCTTCTTCTTCTTCTTCTTCTTCTTCTTCTTCTTCTTCTTCTTCTTCTTCTTCTTCTTCTTCTTCTTCTTCTTCTTCTTCTTCTTCTTCTTCTTCTTCTTCTTCTTCTTCTTCTTCTTCTTCTTCTTCTTCTTCTTCTTCTTCTTCTTCTTCTTCTTCTTCTTCTTCTTCTTCTTCTTCTTCTTCTTCTTCTTCTTCTTCTTCTTCTTCTTCTTCTTCTTCTTCTTCTTCTTCTTCTTCTTCTTCTTCTTCTTCTTCTTCTTCTTCTTCTTCTTCTTCTTCTTCTTCTTCTTCTTCTTCTTCTTCTTCTTCTTCTTCTTCTTCTTCTTCTTCTTCTTCTTCTTCTTCTTCTTCTTCTTCTTCTTCTTCTTCTTCTTCTTCTTCTTCTTCTTCTTCTTCTTCTTCTTCTTCTTCTTCTTCTTCTTCTTCTTCTTCTTCTTCTTCTTCTTCTTCTTCTTCTTCTTCTTCTTCTTCTTCTTCTTCTTCTTCTTCTTCTTCTTCTTCTTCTTCTTCTTCTTCTTCTTCTTCTTCTTCTTCTTCTTCTTCTTCTTCTTCTTCTTCTTCTTCTTCTTCTTCTTCTTCTTCTTCTTCTTCTTCTTCTTCTTCTTCTTCTTCTTCTTCTTCTTCTTCTTCTTCTTCTTCTTCTTCTTCTTCTTCTTCTTCTTCTTCTTCTTCTTCTTCTTCTTCTTCTTCTTCTTCTTCTTCTTCTTCTTCTTCTTCTTCTTCTTCTTCTTCTTCTTCTTCTTCTTCTTCTTCTTCTTCTTCTTCTTCTTCTTCTTCTTCTTCTTCTTCTTCTTCTTCTTCTTCTTCTTCTTCTTCTTCTTCTTCTTCTTCTTCTTCTTCTTCTTCTTCTTCTTCCTCTTCCTCTTCTTCAACTTTATTTTCCCACATATTATTTTAACGACGGTAACGGTCACCGGAAACTCACATACGCACCATACATACGTACACACATCCATAGACACATACATTCATGGATACGTACATTCATGGACACGTACTTTCATGGATACGTACATTTATGGACACATGCATGCATATATTCATATACACATGCAATCATGGTCAAACGTATACATTCATGTATTTATATATCCATGAATTCATGGATATATAAATACCATGCACACAATTATGGAAAAATATTCATGGATGCATGCATACACACATTCATACATACTTACATAATTACAAACGCGTACACACACACATTTACATGTACCGGAGGAGGTAAGAATTGTACCCCCCCCCCCACACCCGACCCCACCCCACCCCAACCCCCTTCTGGTGTAGGTCAGAAGTGCGAGCGTCGTGGCGTTGGGGGGTTCGGGGGAGGGGGAGGGGGAGGAGGGGTAAGAAGGTAGGTTGGGGGTGGGGGTGGGGGTGGGGGAGGTTAGTAGGCTACGAGACGGTTTGCTAAACGAGCACTTGCACTTTCGCGAGTTGGAATTGTTAGTTGGTATTAGTGGGATATTATTATTATTATTATTATTATAATCATTATTATAATCATCATCATTATTATTATTATATTATTATTATATTATTATTATTATTATTATTATTATTATTATTATTATTGTTATTATTATTATCAATATTATTATCATCATTATTGTTATTATCATCATCATTGTTATTATTATTACTATTATTATTGCTGTTATTATTGCTATTATTATTATTATTATTATTATTATTATTATTATTATTATATTTTTTAAGACATTGCTAGCTGCTCGTGTGAGGTCATGGGAAGTGCATGACTTCGTAGGTTTTCTCTTGACCGGATGTTCATTTTTTTCTATTTCTGTGTTATTGTGGGGATGTTTCGTGTCGTTTTGCTTGTTTCGTTATTTTGTTACAGGTTTTGTGTTTGATTTTAAGTTATGTTATATATTTTTTGGTGTGTGTTTGTCATTTCGTGTCTTGAGTTTTTCCTCGGTTCGTTATTTTGTTTCATGTTTGTTATAAGTTATGATTTTTTTTTGTTTGTTTCGTTATTTTTGGGGAAAGCATGTTTATCGTTCTGGGTCTTGTTTTTATTTGTTTGATGTATTTGTTAGAAGTCATTTGTTATGCGTTGCACTTCATGTATGTTTTTGTTGTTTGGTCTGTTTGCTTTATTCATTTTTAATGTGCTGTGAGAATGTTTAACGTTTTATTTCTCCTTTTATTCGTTTCGTTATGATGAATATTTAGAATGATTAAAAGGCTGGGGGGGGGGAGACAACCATCGATGGTCACTTAGGAAAATGCGTGTTGAGTGTAGCCTTTACCTGCGCGATGGAGGAATGTGAACGAACCAGTCGCAGAGCTAACGATTTTTGGTAACCGGCCCCTCTCCCCGCCCAGCCATAAGCCCACGGCGTCAGCGGAGAGGGTAATGTCCTCTTCTTCCCTCGCCCCCCCCCCCTCCCCCCTCGCCCCACCTTGCTCCTCCCCTCCTACAGGTCCTTCCTCCCTCCCTCCCGCCCTCCCTCTCTTCCTACCTTGTGGTACTAGTCCTGAGGTCCTCCCTCCCTCCCTCCCTCCCTCTCCCTGTCTCCCTCCTTCCCTCCCTCCCTCTCTCCCTGTCTCCCTCCTTCCCTCTCTCCCTCCCTCCCTCCCTCCCCTCCCTCTCTCCCTGTCTCCCTTCTTCCCTCTCTCCCTCCTTCCCTCCCTCCCTCCCTCCCTTGTTACCAGCCCTTAGGTCTCTCCCTCCCTCCCTCCCTTATTCCCTCATGTTACCACCCTTTTAGGCCCCCCACCCCCCCATATAGTGTCCTAACTGATGATGCCAGGTTTCCTTTACATGTGTTTTAAATTTTCCTCTTTTCTTCTCTCTATATACCTCTCTTTTTTTCTCTTTTCTGTATTGGGATAGATCATCCTATTTCATATTTTAAGGATGATAAAAAATATCTATGGACGCAGGACGGAAAGATGCATGAATTAACTACGCGCATAAATGGACTATCGAGAGTCCTCCGGTTAAGTGGGCGAGGTATGTGCCTGGCTTGGTGGGGTATGGGGGGGGAGGGAGGGGCAGATGGGGATGGGGGGGAGGGAGGGAGGGTTGTCACAGTAACCCGTCATTTCCCATTTCGAGGTAAGTTATGACATCGGTTTCCTTAATTTTTTTTTTATTTAGTGATATATATATATATTTTTTTTTTTTGCTAATTTCTTTTTTGTTTCTGTTTGTTTGTTTGTGTTTAAAAAATATATTGGTGTTCTTGGTATATGTGTGCGTCTATTATTTGGTGTGTGTGTGTGTGTGTGTGTGTGTGTGTGGGTTGCGAAATGCATCGGATTTCGTATGGATGAGTGGTCGTTTCTTGGCAGAGGGACGACGCGTAACTGTATTGCTGTGTCGCCGTAATGCTGAAAGGGCATAAGGGAAAGGATAGGAGACGACAGGTGTTTTCTGCCATAATCAGCAGCAGTAGCGTCGCCTTTGTCATCGCCATCGTCATCACCACCATTATATTCATCACCACATCATCATCATCATCATTAT